TTAGATCAACTAGGTTGGTTTAAGCACATTTGAAATACATGAAAGGGAAAATTCCAAATAGCATTTATCTTTGGAAACACTATATTGCCAGCTGAAAAGTATTGTGATTAGGAATCATCACAATTATACTCATCTACAAGAAGCATTTTTAAGGCACCCAAACAAAATAAGATTACTTAAATAGCATTAAATAATTCAAACTTCATGACTTCTTCAAATAGCTGGAATTTTTTACATAAAAAGATATAAAAGACAATCACATTCTAATTACCTATTGACATTCATGTACTGTGTGTGCATTGAGAATAATATGACATATAAAGCTCCAAATATGTACTACTCTATCACGTGCCTCACCTAAGATGTACATATGTGAGGTAAACATGAACAGTCAGTCAGTAACTAGAGTACCTAGCTATTTTTAAAAAAAAAGTAGGAAGAAATGTACATTTAAAATGAAGATAAACATTAAAGTTTTATACATTGACATATGACTGCAATGCTATAATTGTAGTATTAACAGCATTCTCTTAATACAAGACTAAAGATCGCTGTTATGTGGCTGATTTTAAGAGACAATGACTACCTCATCTCCACTCTATGAAATAAGAGACATGCATTCATTACCCAGATTCATTTCTATAACAGTTTCATTATCTATGAAAATAGCTGTAATACTAAGTACCAACCCAGAAAAGTTACACAAGCTCTTTAAAAACTTGATGAAGCTGAATTTTATTGTCAATGCAAAACAACAGTCAACTATGTTACTCTGTATGGATTGTGAACGCTAACGGATGCATCGAGATTTAATGCAAAGTCAAATTCGTTGAGTGCTTACAATAACCATCTTTCTAGTATTTGAAAACAGTTTAAATATCATAATTGTCATTAAATTCACACTAAGTTACTCCAACATCAAAAAACCCACGTGTTCTGTGTATATACTGTCAAATAAAATCTAAGTGAACCATTGGGAATTTCAATTGTAAAGACAAATTTGTTTGAATAATGTCAAATAATGTCTCCAAATAATTATAGTAAGGCTTTCTTGATCATACACTCTTGTTTTTTACAATCATTTATTTAGCTATACTTGTGACTGAATAACAGTTAATTAATTGTTCCCCCAAATGAAACAAAATGCTGATCCTGAAATCTGACAATGTTACTTTTATGTAGGCAAGTCGGGTAAAATGAGATATCACTAGAATATATTGGTCTATTTGCATATTTAGTAAGAGCAATTTGTCATTCAGTATATGACTGCTCGTATACTAGGAAGAATGCAGTAAGGAAGATCCAGTACACAAAGAGTAGAGATTTTACACATAGGCTATCTGAATTTTCCATCTCTGCCATAAAAATTTCCAAGTTTTCTTGTAAAGCAATGAAACAAAAATGTCTTCAAAATCTTAAAAGAAGATATTTTTCCATAATTGGGGATCTTTGAATCATCATTTTCTTAAAAATTGTAAAAATAATGTCTTCATTACTAAGTTTCAAGTAAAAGAACAGAAAGAGAAATGTTGTACAGCCCTTTTCAAAGGAATCAGTGCAATGATAAAAAGTTCATCTTACCTAATAGAAAAATAAATGATCACGAGTTTTGTTGCACTATTCTCTAGCAGTTGAAGTGCACATAATTTCACAACTTCTTTTCTGAGAAGACAACATTGAGTGTTTCAACAACTGACTAAAATAAATGATACTAATAGAGTTCTTATCATGAGTACTATTAAAAATGGTTATATATACATATAGATATTGATCACTCATGTTACTTCAGTATGGATTGCACTGAACCATATCAAAAAGCAACTTCAAGGCAATACATTAGAGTTTCTGAAAATTAGAAATTTGAAATGATCAATTTTATATGAGATAACATAGAGAAGAGTACAAATTAAAACTAGTCAGGACACATACTCGTCACCACGTATTTGACAAAGAAGAAGAAGTATGCTTATTATTCAGGAAAAAATGCCAAAAGTATCATTACAATAATAGGCCTTCGACAGAATCTTATGAAATTATATCCATCAGTATGTGTTTACACTCAACTGAATGTATACTTTTTCCCCTGTACTCTCCTCCCCTTCAGCTTTAGCTAGAAGAGGTAAGTCATGAATCCTGAGGAAGAATCCTCTTTAGGCAAGTCTCCATTGGGAACATCACTCATCTTCCTGGGAATGTTTATTTGATCTCCCCTCCTTATGACAGAATTCTGCTCTTTTACTGCATTTCTTTTCTCTTAATGACCTTGTGTCTCACGGTCTTTATGCTATTATTCTGAACCTAGTGCCTATTTATACCCCTTAGTTTTCTTTTTACTGAATTAAAGCCACAGAAATATTATGGACCTGAACACTAACTTCAGATGGTATTTAAAGTAATAGATCATATAAACAATGACATCTACAGTTATGAAGCCTTTTTCATAAGCATCAAATTTTGCAAATTTATTAACACATTTATGAGGGTATTTGCATCAGTAAAATTTGCTCATGTTATTTTATCATTAATTAGATTCATTACAGTAATTGTACTTTTTCTCTATCAAAAATTATAATGTATTTGTTATATGTATTTCTGTCTGGTTGTTTTCCTCACCTTCTTTGTGTATTGTATACATAAAATATTTTTCATAATTTTCACAATTGTAGATTCTAATGCTTGCAAGACAATTATTCAAAACATATTATAAAATGTAACAGAATGCATGAAGCATTGTCACAAATTATTTCCTCATATTTAATACTTTCCTATAATTGTTTTATATAAAATCAAGTAAAACTGTTGGATATGAAAATTATAAGGAATAAAGCTTAATCAGATGAAAACAGTTACCTAAAACATATTATAGCAGAGTCCCAAAACAGTATAAAATTACCTATCTCAGAATACTAAGTAATTTATCATTTTTCTCTTTGGTATCTCTCAATTTAAGAAAAGTTCTTATTCATGAAAACAATCAAAATCACAATAAAATGATAACCTGTTTACTTTTAGAGTGAAACCCATAAATATTTTTCAAAAATGAATGAAAGAATCAATTATTCACAAAGGAAAATAATACCTGTATAAAGTTTTGCACTTTAGAAATGAACATTTGGGGGAGGGGAAGGGAGTCTAAGACAAGGAAAGGAGGAAGCAGAGAGATGGTGAAGGAGAAAGATGAAAATGGCTTTTCCTGTCTGCAGTTATTTGTCATGAGTGTGTCTGAATATCCGTAAAGGAATCACATGGCTTCCATCAGAACTTCTAGTAGCTCACTGAGTTTGTATATTAGTAATATTCTTTGCAGGCAAAATAAAATTTTTCGATTTTTTTATAAAATATTTCTATTTTAAAACCATGAAGGAGGTTTTCACCCTTTGAGTTTTAAAGCCATTAAGAAAATGTTCATCTTTGGAGTGCTTCACCCTATACCTTATGAAAAGTTCATCTATAAGCCAGGTTTGTAAGCCTCACATGCGAATCAGGTAGGAGCTTCCATAGGAACTGGTTTCTGTTCGGTTGCTTGCACACAGAAGATCGTTGCTCAAAAGAACAAGAAAGGATTCTCTTATAAGTTCTGTAGCACTGTTATTTATTGTACTAGTAAGCAACAGTTTGCCTATACATTGCCAGTACATTTCCGCTAAAGATTGCAATTTGGATTTTACAACTGACATGACAATGTAGTTGCAGTTTCAGTCCACAGACCCAGAAATGTAATCATTTAAAGTCATAGACCTCAGCAGAAGTTCTTTATAAAATGATAAACTATGTTACTGCTTTACAGCAAAGCTCTTTGCCCCCTTTTCCATCCATGAATTGCAATTTCTCCATTTGTATATTAATCTCATATGTCAAATGATTACTTTCTTGAGATATTGCCAGACAAGAAATGGAATAAACATTGAGAAGCCTAAATTATATTTTTGAATGTCAAATTTCTCCAAGTAGTTTCTTTTTCTTTTCATTCCCCTAAGTGGCTTCGGAGTGCAAATGAACATTTAGTCTCCAATATACTTCTAAACTGTGATATGGAGGGGATATACTTATGACCTGAGAAGCTATCTATTACTGGTTAAACAATCTTCTCTTAGGAGAAATGGGATTCTTCCAACTGATTTGTCTGCGGTGGAGGAGCTGGTAGATTCTCTCAACAAAAAAAAAAAAAGCCTACTAACTTCAGCACCAAGCTTCTGCCTAGTCTTAGCCCCAGTTTTTCATGCCCCACATTAACCTCTGCAGGTGGCCCAAAAGGGAGGATTCCAGGAAAATGGCATCTGTCCTAGCCGTTTTGTAAAAAATAAGACTGATCTACTTTCCCTTGCACCAGGGAGCTTTGCACAGCGGGCATGAGCATATGTCCTTACTAGAGGCACCTCTTCAAGACAGCGCGTGTCACAGGCACACACACACACACACACACACACACACCTCCACCATCACAGCACACGCATCCCATACACTTTCACAACAAACATACAGGATGGGGATCAAATCACCCTCTGAGATGGATTCTCGACTTCCGTTCCCCTGCAGCCCCTAAAGGCTGTATTCTCAGTTGCCAGCTTAGGAGCCCAGGTTACAGCTCAGCTAGCCCCCAATCACAACCACAACCACAACCCCAAGAAAGCCCTTAGTGTCCGTGTTCAGCAGAAAAACTGTCCGACCCGTATGGCCACAAAAGAGCAGGAAAGAACATCAAATAAAGAAAATAACTACCACAAGCAGCCAAAAAAGCCATGCAAGACATAAGCGAAAGACTGTAAAGTTTCAGTGGAGGATTGCAGCTGAAGTTTGTGCGGGACTCTTTCAGACTGGAGTCCTACCACTGAGCGCAGCCTAGAAAGGACTGCCAACTAATGAGCCCTTCTAATCCTCTCTACCCCGCCGAGAACAGTGCGAAGAAGCAGGACTTAGACTCTATAGACAAAGTTAGATGAGAGTGATAAGACATGCAGAAGAGGGTAAGAAGCGAGAGAGTCAAGAAATGATTGTCTCACCTGGCATTTGTGCAATCGGTGAACAAAGTTTCGAAGTCTTTTCTGGTGATGAGTTTGCAGCGGTTCACCCCTGGCTGAATGGCCCCCAGCCCACGAAGGATTCGAACTTGCTCCACAGTACACACCACAGGGGATATGTCCAGTCTCTTCAGTTTAGTGTACACCGTGTGCAACCCTCCCACCAGGTGCTTGAGGAAAAGATCAAAGACTTGCGGCAGGCAGATCAGTTCCTGGCCATCCATCAGGAATGAAGCCACCTTCACTCCGTGCATGTCGACCATCCGGCACTCGTTACTGTTGGTGTTGCTGCTGCCACCGCTGCCACCACCGATCCCGCCACCCCCGACACTGCCACTGTGATTATTGGCCATGAAACTGTTGATCAGATTAGGGGCTAGACGCGGGGGCTCCCCTGGAGACGAATACAGAGGTTCAGCTCGGAATAAACCCCCCGGGACGCCGGCGCTGCTGGAAGTTGCAGAGATCACCAGAGGTGCAGAGACAGCCATGGTCACTCTGTCTGGAGCCTAGCTCTTTGGGCCCTCGCTTACTCGCCCTGACTTCTCTAGGTCCCCTCGCACTCACTCACTGACTCTCTATATCTTTCTCAGGCACGTTCCCACTCTCAGAACAGTTTGTAAGTCAGAAGCAGGCTGGCTGCGGCTCCAGCTCATCCACCACCCTACACACACAGTGAGCTGCCTCGACCCACCGCGGCCCTAGAGCCCACCCCCACCACACCCCCTCCCAAGACTGGCAGCGCCCCCCAGCCAATGGGCCCCACCCCCTCAGCGCCCGCGTGCGCTGAATGGCTGCCGCCAGCGAGGGGTGGAGACTCCCCAGCCAGCCCCTGCCTACCTGAGGCCAAACGCGCTTTCAGTAAATGGAAGTGGAGCTTGAGAAGGGGGCAGTGTAGGACCTTCGCCAACCGCCTGGCCTTCTGAGCAGAGTCCGATTGTCATGCACAGGTCTCGGAGGAAACTAGGTTTCCAAGCTGTCTTCTCCCAAGTAGAGGATTAGTGGGGGCTCACAATCGGGACTAGAATGTGTTTCCTTCACCCCACACCTCCAGCCATCCCGCACCGAGTTTGGTGGAGGAAAGTGACTTAGCTCTAATTCCTTGAGCACATTTCTCCCGAAATCAGCGGGGCGCAGAGGTGCCTCCACTGAACATCCAGGAGAAAGAGTTCAGTGAGTTCACAAGTGAACAACTCAGCCTTTCTCCTAGGCACCTCGCTCACTTGCTGTGATTTCGTCCTCATCCACCGCCCACAGGTCCACTTCCCAGACTTCTCCAACTCCTTTCCTTTAAGAGTTGCTGGGGGCGACTTCTCTGCTACTCAGGGGCATTCAGGAAGCGCGGTGGGGGGCCTCAGTGGCAGAAGGGAAAATTGTTTTACAGCTTCCGCCACTGTCCTGAAACGGACAAGGGTTTTGTTTTGTTTTGTTTTGTGTGTCCTTGAGGGGGCGGGGAGGAGGGGGAGCGCTTCTGAGAGAGAGAGAGAGAGAGAGAGAGAGAGAGAGAGAGAGAGAGAGAGAGAGAGAGAGAGAGAGAGAGAGCGCGCGCACGCCATGCAGGCATGCGCACTTGTACCTTAGTCTTGAAAGCATCTTGCTCTAAAGTTACCCAATGACTCAAAACCTTACATAGTTTATAGAGACAGTTGTTAACACTCTGGAACATGGCTTTTTTTTCTCCCTCACAAACAGGGTCAGAAGGCCAGTGAGTGGCCCTGGCATTCCAAAGACTCTGTATCTTAAATGGTAGCTCAGGGTTCTTCCTCTACCTATCAAATGCTCTGCACGTAACAGCAAGAACACACAGGAAATAAAATGCCTGAGTAGGGTACGGTTGCCTGAAGAAAAGCAATATTATTTCTACACAACATATCACAGTTACGACACCTTATCCTAGTTGTTTAAATTCCTTGTCAAGGTTTGATTGAACTGCCAAGTATTCATTTCACTATCCTTTCCTGGAAAAGCTGGTAGATACTTTGTTGAATTCAGGCTTCATTTGTTTAGAAAAGTTACCACCAACATAGCTACATAACTTTTCTGATTCTCTTTCAGAACATAAATAATTTTAGAAACTTGCTGAGTTTTATTAGTGCTAGTTGTACTTACCAGTATCTAAGAGGGGGAGTAGGAATGTTCCTTTTCCTCACTTCCTAAGTCAAAAATGCCCTAAGTAAGATATTTCATCTCTATCTACAAGCTTGTATTACAAATGTTCTTTTGAATCTCTTCATAGTGTCTTATTTCAAATTGAATGAGGTCAAAATGTGAAGAAGTAGTGATGATAGTGCCTTTTGGAATACAGGAAAAAGCAACTCTAACAACAGATTGGAATATAGTCAATCACAAATCGTTTTTAAAGGCATGAAATTGTTTTTGCTCACTTGCTACAGTCTTGGAAGAAAAATGAGAAGATATGAGGCGTTGAGAAGATAGAGCAGAGCACAAAAGGTTTCCACAACAGAAACAGTGTAACACCACTGACATATTTGTTAGTGTTTATTAATTGTTACTTTTTAAAAGAAATGTAAAATCTGTGCAAGAGATGTTTTGACAGAATATCTGTTAACGATGTAGTGAAACAACTTACCTCTGGTTATATTGCAGTAAAAATTTCCAGGAGAATAAATGCGATACAAAGTTTGATTTGAAAAAACTCTAATTATACTGATGATCAGGACAAGCAGCTCCCTGTTATACTGCGGCAACTGCATTAGGAAGACTTTTATAGTCACTGGGAATGTTCAGCAACAGGACATTACAGGGATGTTTGAATATTTCATAATTAAGTAGTTACTAAATATAGAATGAAAAACTGGAACAAGTTGTAATCATTGCTTTTGTATTAGAAAACAAATACATTTTGATGTTCAAAGAGAGCTTGGAAGAATTAAAAGTCATATATTTTCATGTAATAGGTTTGTAGCAATGTTTTATAGCCAGAAATTAATGCTAATTAGACAGTGATCATTGAAGGATTGGCAGTTCTTGCAAGCCTTAAATGGACAAAATACTCTTGGTTTCATTACTTGCATGTCTTTCCATTTCAGTCCTGTAGAAAATAAACATGGTCGTTTCAAGTCATGATTGTAACTTAAAAAACAGCTCGATCCAGACTCCAGATGATGTGCCTCTGAGTTTCTTGACGCTTTGATGGCTTTATTTCTGTTACTACTATCTATGCTTTGAGACTGAGATAATCAGATTCCACATACAGAGTTTCATTTTATTCTCTTTTGATGTTACTACCTTCAGTAGATAACATATTTCTAAATAAGCCTGAGTTTCTACAAGACCTGAAGAAGTCTTACATATCAACACCTTGTAAGTTGGGAACTAAATGAAGAAGCATAAAATCATAAGGGCTATAGTAAACAGAGTACCTTTGGGAGACGAAATGAGCTACATGAACAATAAGGAAATATTCAAGGTTTGTGAATTCATACCAGATAGAAGCTAGCCACTGAAGTAAATATGAATAAAATTAATTCAGGCAGATAGCATTTCTTATAAGTGAGAGTTCTAGATGGCACTAGTTCTAGTACAATGAATTTAATTATTTAATGTTCTAAAACAGAACAGCTACTGCTTCTTTACCGTAATTTGAAATTCACATTTTATTATAATTCATATTCAATTAGGAGGGGGTACTTATTTGTAAACATTAGCAAAATGTACCACTTTTTTGGCATAGCCTATGAAATGAAGATACCGCAATAAATATAAATTTTAAAAGATGTATTTATCTTTACATGTTTGTCTGCCTATATGTGCACCACCATATGCAGACCTGGTACCCACAGAGGCCAGAAGAGGGCATTAAAGTCCCCTAAAACAAGACTTAAAGACAGTTTTAAGCTGCCATGTGGCTTCTGGAAATCCAGCTTGTGTCCTTTGCAAATCCTCCTAACTGCTGATCTGTTTCTCCAGCTCTATGTTTTTATTTATTACATGTTATTTCTTTAGTGTGTATTCAGAGTCAGTTCTTTCTTTCTGCCTTGTCAGTCTGAGATCCAGCTCAAGTCCTCAGGTTCAACAAGTGCCTTAACCTTAACATATGTGCAGTATATTTTGATCATATCCACCCCCCACTACGCTATCCAACTCCTCCCAGACCACCACCACCACATCCCCCTGCCAACTCGTGTCGTCTTTTTTAACTCCACTTACTACTACCCCCATTTACGTGTGGATACAGGGCTGTACACTGGAGAATGAAGACCAGACCTGTATTCCACATAAGAAATTTACGCATACACACACACACACACACACACACACGTGCTAGCTTGAATAGAACTGGAAAATATCCGGGACTATTTTAAGGGGCTGGGTTTAAGAACGCACATTTAAGCACATCCCAAGGAAATGATACTACTATTTGAAACCCACAGAGAAATCCTGTGGGTGTTCCCCACAGACACAATCTATTCCCAGGACACTGGCTGCAAAATGATCATCTATACTGTGCCCCTTTTCCACTTTCAGTTACAAGGTTATGTTGAAGATGAATTCTAAGGAAGGTTAAAGTGGAAGGGATGGGACATTAGGACAAGAAAAGAATTTGTTAGGTCTGGAGAGTTCGCTCAAAAGTTAAGAGCAGTGGTTGTTCTTCCAGAGGACCTAATTCCCAGCATCCGCATGGCAACTCACAGCTATCTTCAACTCCAGTTCCAAGGGATCCGACATCCTCATGCAGACATACATGCAGGCAAAGCACAAATGCACATAAAAAAATAAGTAAATAATTTTTAAAATAAAAGAATTTGTCAAAATCAAGAGAATTAACAACTAAAAATGAGAGGATTAAAGGAAAAATCATTGTTTTCTAACTGAAACACAAAAATATCTTTTAAATTACTCACAAAATACAGGTCTTATGTTTTGTTGATATTTATGGGAGACCTGCTTTTTCTTAAGCAGAAACAGAGGAGCAGTTTGGGGCGTGGGAACAGAGAGGGGTTAGGAGGAGGTACAGGTAGGAGAGGAGGGAGGGGAAATTGCAGTCAGGTTGTAAAATAAATAAATTTATAAAAATAAAGATCTTTTCTATCCTTTAGTACTACCCTGTCTAGGCATAATAGACAGTGGAATATAGGGTATCATACGTTAAAGAATTTAATTAAAATGTATTCTTTAAATTGAAATTTCATTTATACTTCATGATGTACTTCCCCCTTAGAACTATTCAGATTGGAACCATTTGAACTTCATCTGGAATCCTACTAATACTAGATGTGGTTTCATTTGCTGACTCCCTGTAGAATTCACAGGAGCATCTGCTCCAACCTTTATAAACCACAGTTCCTTCTGTTCTCATCAGTTTCTGCCTTGCACTGCTGTATGCTTTTACCACAAAGGAAGGCTCCCTTCTCTCTTCTGAAATACTTTTTATTCTTCGTGTCTCTGATCGACTTAGACTGTGTCCCTCAGAAAATAGAAAACTTCCTCCACTGCCTTCCTTTACATATTTGACCCCTTTGTATCCCTC